CAAGCAAGGTCAACACAACCTCACTCCCTAAAAAGTGGCGACGTTCCAGAGCTTCAGAGGAATGTTCCTCCAGAGCCTGGTGTCCCAGGTCACCCGCTGTGGAGGAGCGTGTGGAAAGGCTGTGCACGCAAGCGTTGTAGATGTCATGCATGCGTGAGAGGTGGCTGACCTGGGCTCCATCCACCCCTGGAGTCCTTGGGATGTGTTGTGCAGTATCTGGAGTCTTCCTTTTGCTTTTAACATCTGCCATGAAACCTGATAAATGTAAACTGAGCCTGAAAAAAAAAAAAAGCATTATTTTAAATACACAAAAGGCGGAATTGCACACACTAGGTAAATGAGCATACCTTATTGCTTCCCAGCACAGTACATACTTATATATTAAAATTAAATGGTGTGGAAATGTCATGGTGAAATCCCATGATTGTATAGTCTATATACACTGATTGTGATTTAATCTTGGCTGCTTGGGTGGGTTGAAATGCCTAGGGCTTGGTGCAGCGCATCTCTAGGGGTGTTTGTGAGGGTCAGCACATGTCTGTAGGGGTATCTGTTGGAGGTTAGCTCAGCACCTCTCTAGGGGCATGGGGGGGTTGTGGATAGTCACGTGACTGTGCTGAATGGATTGAGCCATGATGGACTCAAGATACGAATCGAGAGTCCAGGGTTAGAACTGTGGACCTGGGCCCAGTTGGGGGAAATCAGTTCTTGGGTGGGGTGTCCTGGGGGCTCTGTCTTGCCTGGTCCTTCCTGTTACTGGCTTGCTGGGCTTCCTGCTTGCCATGCTGTGAACTGGTCCAGCATACCTGCCCCTCGGTGATGGGTTGAGACCATGAGCTAGAATTCACATTTTCCTCCTTTGGATTATTCTTCTGTCATTTTCCCACAGCTACAGACTAACAGACTGCCAAGAAGAAATGAGGATTAGACAGGTTGAGCAAAAGTAACATCGGCTAATAAAAGTTGCAAATTACAAGCAGTTTCAAGTAATCTGCCATATGATATGAAATATCTCTATCATGCAATGATTGACTTACATGTGTAGGCATGTGCTTCTAATAATTTATAACAGACACCATCCCTTGTATATATGTAGAAAAATGATGGAACGATGCAGAAAAACTACGAAACCTGTCATCTCTAGAAGTTAGTTGTTACAATTTCAAGTGTTGAAAATGTGCTTTTGTTTCCTCTGCTTCTTACTTTCTAATTTTTTCTATGTGTAGAAACTAGAATGATAAGGAACTAGTTTAAAGGGTCAGGGCTGGAGCTCAGCGAGCAGAGTGTTTACCTAGGTATGCATAAGGCTCTGAGTCTGATTCCAAGGGAGGAAGGAGGGAGGGAAGAGAGAGGGAGGAGGGAAGGAGGGGGAGGGAGGAATGGAGGAGGGAGGGGCAGATGGAGGAGGGAGGAAGGAGGGAGGGAGGAGGGAGGGAGGAAGGAGAGAGGGAGGAGGGGAGGGAGGGGAGGGATAGAGGGAGGGAGGGGAAGGGAGGGGGAGGGAGGGGGAGGGAATAAAGAGGGAGGGGGAGAGAGGGGAGGGATGGAGGGGGAGGGATGGAGGGGGAGGGAAGGGGGAGGGAATAAAGAGGGAGGGTTTATAGAAAGGAGAAAATAGGCAACGGCCTGTGAGGTGGAAGAAATGAAGATGTTGGGTCTTTCTAGCTAAAGAGGGTTAATGAGATCTGCTTGAGGGACATCGTTGGCTGAATGACATGTCAAGGTATGTAGTGAGACGGAGAGCAACAGAGTGGGGTGAAGGGCGAAGGGTGAAGGGCGAGAATAAGGCCAACAGGGCCACCTGGGTGTTTTAGGTAGATGCAAGCTTGTTTCAGTTAATTAAAACCTGAGGAATGATTGTTAGCTCCTGTGTGTGTGTGTGCCCAAATTGTGCAACAGTCTGGACTAGCAGTCTAAGAGAATCAAGTTCTTCTGTACTGGCTTGGGTTTGGCCAGTGTTTTATAGACATTCCGTGGGCTTTTGCTATCCCAAATCACAAGTGATCATAGGACTTTGGAAATTAGCATGATTATACATGCTTGTGTTCCATGCAGTAGGATGTTGAGGTAGGAGAGTTGTGAGTTCAAGGCAATGGGCTGCATAGCAAGTCTTTCTCTGTTTCTGCCTCTGTCTCCACCTCTCTCTCCCTTTTCTCAAAAAAAAAAAAAAAAAAAAAAAAGCATAGAATTTTTGGCAGAGAAATCTTAATTACCAGGAGGGAAGGCTTTCTTCTGGTTAGTTTTATGTTTTCCATTCAAATTGGCATTCTAATCAGTGTGGTGGTTTTTACACTAAATAAGAAGTTTTTCTTAGTAGCTAGCTCAGTGTGTGTAAGTATATGAACTGTGGACATACCACCTAGTAGGTGTTTAGGTGTAACGTATTCATCATTTCCTCCCCTACTGCTGTGAACTTAGGTACAGATTCTATTCTTGTGCCTTGGACCTAGTAGAAGCACACACATTGCCTTTCCTTTTTCTTTAGTGGTGTTCACTACTTGAAAATACACTCCCTTGAAAAGAACACAGTGCCTGCCCACAAGTTCAGCATTGTGCTTAGTGCCATGGAGACAAATTAGTGCCTCATTACAATGCAGCCCCCTCAAGGGAATTAAGCCCAGGCTTACCTTTTTTCGGCCTGTGCTGAGAAGATTCTCTTGAGACTAGTGGATATTCTTATTTTTATTGAAAATAAATTTTGTTTCATACAATGTGTTCTCCTCCCCCAACTTCCCACTACCCCCACCCATCCAGCTCCACACCTTCTTTCTCTCTGTCTTCAGAAAACAAACATGCAAGTAAAAACAAGCAATAATAACAACAACAACAACAAAGATAAAGCAACAGAAGCACAGAAACACAACACAAAAACAAAACCCATAAAAACACAAAATCGGAACCCATAATACGGAAGCAAAAAACTCCAGTAAGATAAAACCAACCAAACAAACAAAAAACCCAAGCAAAACATCATGAAACTAACAAAAATCTCCAAAAGTACCATTGAGTTAGTCTTGTGTTGGTCATCTTCCGCTGGGCATGGGGGCTTCCGTGAAGTGTGATTTATGTACCCAAAGAGCATCCATCGGAGAAAACTAGTGTTTCCTTTGTAAGTGGTTGTCAATTGGCCATAGCTTCTAGGTTAGGGATGGAAGACCATGTCCCTTTCATGCTCCAGTGCTGGTACCCATCTGACTTAGACTTGTGCAAACTTTGTGCATTGCTGCCACAGTCTCTGTGAGTTCATTTGCACATCGGTCCTGTTGTGTCTGGAAGACACTGTTACCTTGGTATCCATTTCCTCTGGCTCCTATAATCTTTCCACCTTCTCTTCTGTATAGTTCTCAGGGCCCCGAGGGGATGCCTTCCACTCTCTGCACATTCTCTAGTTGTAGCTGTCTGTACTAATTTCCGTCTACTACAGAAGGAAGCTTCTCTGATGATGGCCAAGTGAGACTCTGATTTTTGGGTATAGCGGAGTGTCAGTAGAGTCATTTTATTGTTATGATCCTTCAGCAGAAGAAGAGTATTTGATTTTCCCCTGGGTCCATGGCCTATCTGGTCTCCAGTTATAGGCCACCTAACAAATGTTGGGAATGAGTTCCATCTCAGGGACTGAGCTTTAAATCCAGTGGTTGGTTACTTTCACAACATCTGTGCCACAGTTTAAACAAGTGTGTCCTGCAGGCACACTTGTCCTGTAGAGCACAGGCTTTGTAGTTTGGTTGCTGTTTACTGTTCTGCCCTACTAGCATGCAGAGTACCTTCTAGGACTGTGAAAGACTATAGGAGGAGCGAAGGCTCTATGTGGACACCAGCTTGACTTCTTTGTGCTCAAGGAGATATTTAAGTGAAATATGTAAGTATTGTCTTCAGCTTTACAATCAGTTTGTGGAGAGCAACTAATGGTCTTGGTAATAGCTAAGTCGCTTGGGGGTTTCCGTGGGACCCCTTTGGCCAACAACTCAATTAGATGTGTTCCATTCCTGGAATTGGAGGATTCACTTGATGGCAAATGGTGTCTAGCTGGGGCTGTCTCTTCCATTATTTGGTGACTCCATTTAGACTCATGTCACATTTGAAGCTTCTACTACAGTAGTCTTCATATGACCCCTCAAATGGCACTTAGTATTAGTCGTCCCTCTCTGTATTCCCTCTCTAACTCTCCTCTGTCCCCCTCTGTTTAATCCCGTTCCAGCTTCCCAATTTCTTCATAACTTTATCATTCTATTTCACCTTCCGTGGGAGACCTCACCCGAGTCTCTTACTCTATTCCTAGCCTCTGTGACTATATAGATCATAGTGTGCCTATTGAAGTTTGAAGTTAGCGGGTATTCTTATATGTTCCATTGCTAATATTAATTTACAACTTAAACTATTCTCATGTGAATCTACACGTTTAGCTAGTGATTCTGTGATCCGTGTTTAACACATTAGTTGTTTTTTTTTTCCCAGAGGCTTTGGTCTATAGTGTATGAGTGTATGTGTGTGTAGAGCATGCATTTGTATGTATAGAATATATGTATGTGTGTGTAGAGAATGCACAAGTGTATGTATAGAACACATGTATGTGTATGTAGAGCATACATATGTGTGTAGAGTATGTGTATTTGTGTGTAGAACATATATATGTGTGTAGAGCATGCATATGTGTGTGTGTAGAATATGTGTATGTGTGTATAGAACATATATATGTGTGTAGATCATGCATATGTGTGTGTAGAGCATGCATATGTGTGTAGAACATGTATATGTGTGTAGAGCATGTGTATGTGTGTGTAGAACATGCATACGTATGTAGAGCATGTGTATGTGTGTATAGAACATGCATGTGTGTGTAGAGCATGCGTATGTGAAGTTCACTGGATGTGTACATTAGACATGTTTTAAAACAGAACACATGATGCCACCAGAGAGACTGGTGTTAGGGTTGTCAGTGTTTTCCTTTAACTTTGCTTTGCTGTATTTTCTTGCTTTTATTTTCTTTCTCTTGCCTCTAGCCTGGGAGGTGACGACACACGCTTTGAGATGAGCATGGCCAGGGATGGATGTGAAGTGCACCGTTTTGACCCTAGTGTCAAATCAGCCCACGCTCTGGAGAACCAGCGCCTCTGGCATCACCGCTTGGCCATCGATTGGCGGGACCCACATCCAGCTGTGGCTGCTCAAAAGTCAAACAGCAACACCAGGAAACTGGGAAGCATTTTGAATGAATTTGGGCATCACAAGGTAAGACTTCTCATTTGAATTCAGTATTAGATAAAGTGAATAAACCCATCAGATTAAGAAAACGAGAGCTGAAGCTAATAATGTTGGAAGACGGCTTTTCCATTTTGCTGGTCATTGCATATTTTTACAGAGATGACCTGAACACATGGTGCTGGGGAATGCTAGAGCTGTTTATACTGAATTTCGGATTTTAGTTGCTCCTAAAGAATGCTAGGAATGTCCAAAATGAGACAAGAGACTAAGAAGCTACTTCTGACAGAGACTTCAGCATACTTAGGAGTTTATCTAAAGTTTCCAGAAAGCTAAACTGCTTATTTCAACCTTGAATACAAATGTAGCCCCTCCCATGTTTTTGCTTGGTAAGACACTGCTTTTACATATTTCTCGAGTTACTTGCTATTTCGAGACTATTGGCTCTTAAAGTACAAAAAATACATGTATTTCTGTGTAAAATCTACTTTGTAAAACTCAATGAACATCATGTACATTGCAATTTATATAATTGTGTCAAAACATGTAAAATATACACAAATATACCATTGTGGAGAGACAGCATAAAGTAACTCAATCTTTGAACAATGTTCCTTGAACTCAAGTTTTAACATTATATATCCCAGCAAATGTATATTCTAAGCAGGTTCTAAAAGGGTGATTCTGGGTACAATTGCCTTTTTAGGTTTCTATCTCTCCTTGATCGAGTTTGGCTTGTCCTAGCCTGTGGTTCCCAACCTGAGGTGACACATAATTTGAAACATATCAGAATAGGTATCCATCTGTGAGACAAGGTGTGGCGGAATCGGCTTCTTGATCTTTAACGAACCCACGTATTCCTTTTCCTCTCCCCTTCCTCTTTCTCCTGTTCTTTGAACACACACACACACACACACACACACACACACACACACACACACAAACCAAACAACAACAACAAAAACCCTGTCTTAGTTAGTTAGGGTTTCAGTTGCTGTGATAAAACACAATGACCAAAACCAAGCTGGGGAGGAAAGGGTTTATTTCCTCTTACAGCTTGTAGTTCATCATCCAGGGAAGTCAGGGTAGGAACTCAAGGCCAGAGCTGGACAGAGGCCATGGAGGGGTGCTTCTAACTGGCTTTCTCCCTGGTACTTGCTCAGCCTGCTTTCTTGTAGAACTCGGGACCACCAGCGCAGGGATGGCCCCGCCCACGGTGTGCTGGGCCCTGCAACAGCTGCAAGCTTGCCTACAGGCCATTGTGGCGGGGACATTTTCTTGGTTGTGTTTTCCTCTTCCTAAACGACCTGTGTCAAGCTGACCCAAACCTAGCTGACCCAAATCCCTTTAATGAGACAGTCAAAGCTTTCTCAAGAACAACCTTGAAGAATTTATTGCTCTTCTAACATAGGAATGGCTATTTGTTCTTTGTTTCTGCCACCAAGAGAACCGGCATCTGACACTTAGGAATCTTAATGCTTCTTACCTACAAATATTTTGGGTAAGATCTCCGAGTAGAACTTTTCTCACGTGCTACTAAATTTTTAGTAAGCATGAGAAGTGGAGGCATTTTTTCAGAATTCTATTCCAGTTCGTTCTATTTGCCACCCCTACTGTTGCAAGTCTGCTTTTCTTTACTGATGAAAATGACAAACCAGTTCACTAATATGTCAGGTCTAGATTATCCAGAGAGTGAAAACTTGTTCTGTTTGGTAAAGACTTGGTTGCTGCTCTCCATGGGTTCTTTCCTGGTCCTGTCCACTCTTGTCTTCTGAGACAAGACTGAATAGGCAAAACAGGTATCCTTTGCACTTTTTGAACACGTTTTAGCAAAAGGGTTTTCACAGCAGAGGATAAGATGAGGCTTTGAGAAAGCTCATGTGTACATAATTTATCCAAGCACATTTCCTATAGAGTGTGTTTTAGGACAATGAGACCCAGGGCTGAATTGCATGTGTTCAGCTCCCTGGGAGCATCTCTGCGCCCGCCAACTTCTGTGCTGGGGGTAGTGTGGAACATTTTTCCCCCTAGATAGCAAAAGCGTTTACAAGGGTACTTAAAGAGAGAGATCATTTCAAGGGTTGCTTTTGTTCCTAAAGTGACTTGTTTTTCCTAAAAGAAAAAAAAATTAATAACGAAAGTGATCTGCCTCAGAATTGCCAGGTACGTATTTGATGCTTAAAAAGAAAATTCATTGTTGAAGAGCAGAAGAGCTGCTGGTGTCCTTCATAGAGATTCTTCTCATGAGTACTTCCAGACAGAAACAAAAAAAGCTAAGCTACTAGTGAGTGATTGCGTCCCTTAGAAACACACTGCAGTGCCAGATTAAAGGAACCCTCGTTTGTGGCCTGTGGAGAGCGTGGTCGGTTTTCACCTCTCTCTGTGTATGCAGGCATTGATAAATAGGACATGGCTGTGGCAAGGGAGGTGGATAGAGCCAAACAGTCGAAAGGACTGGTATTTCATCTCTTTGTCCGTTGACTCTGAAGGTGGCACCAGAAGCCAAACGATGCTTTGAAGACTTTCAGATACCTCATACGGTTTTGTGATAATTTCCACGTTTGGCTATTTGGTTGTTGTTGTTTTTTTTTTTTTTCTCTTCTTCTCTGCATCCAAACCCAGTTTCTATTCAAGCAAGGAGTGTGAGAGCCAAACGTTGGCAGTGTTTGGAGATAGTGACAGAAAGATGCATATGGCTTCTGCGCTGCCGTAAAAACTCTTTGCTAATTTTAACTTCAAACTATAAATCAAAAAAAAAAAACCCTCTACATGGCATGATGCAGAAGCAGCTGCATCAGCATCAGCAAAGGCTCATGGACCGGAGGCCCTGCCTGCCAGGGAGTAATAGCACCTGGATGCAGCCTTGCTGGGGATGATTTACTGTCTAACTCATGCTGCGGCGGCTGCCGCTGTTAACTAAAGTCTATGAATTTTTCAAAAAATAGCTGAAGATTAAACCCGAGGATTCTGCTCTTATTAATTTTATTGTGTGGTTTTTCTCTCCCCCAAACTCTTTATCGCATAGTCAGCTTTTCCTAAACGACACAGGCTTGGTAATGATAAATTGTGATCATTATTGTGACCAGCCAGCCAAGGGTTCTTCCGCCATGTTTGGGTGGAGAATGTGGCTGCTAACCTGCAGCTCCCGTAGTGCCGACAGCTCTGGGCTTAGAGGACTGGCAGCCTCTGCGCTTTGCATTCAGCTCTGCTACTCCGCAGCATCCACAGATGCTATAGGACTCCCTGGCCTTGGGTTGCAGTGGCCGGGGCTTGTGGTGCTCCAGCTCTTAGCTTCCACCGTCTTTCCCTTGTGTCTTTGCACCCTTTGCCTTCTGCGGTCTCTGCAGGAGCCGCGAATGCCTGGTGTTGCAGGTTGGTAGGACAGCACGGAGGAAGCTCGGACAGAAGAGTGGGAGGCAGGCAGCTGACACAGCCTGTCACTCATAGGCACAGCCCTGTTTACAACCACACACAGTCTGTGAAGATTATGCTGGGTCTGTCACAGATACAATCGTCCCCAACTTGACTGAGAGTTTTGGGTGACTTTTGGGGTGGCTGTGACAGATCATGCTTTCTTAGCTGAAACAATGTGTCCGAGCGTGTCGATTCAGAGTGCCTGAAGTGGCTCTTAATAAATCAAGTATTTTTCAAAGCCAAATCCATGGTCGGGGATGTGGCCGTGAAAGCTACTGTAGTTGCCACCATCCCGATGGCGCCATCGTCGTTCCCAGCCCACTGGACCCGAGAACCATGGAGATAACAGAATTGGGCCCCATCCGGACTCAGTCCTTTATGGTCCTGAAGCCATCCCCTGGCTGGGCTCCTTAGCAACCACTGTAGCAACAGAAAAGTCTTGTCTGACGGCTGTCAGTCAAGCAGATGATCAGCTCACCCCTGACAACTTCAGTCGTTTGAAACGAACACAGCAAACAAATGAAACTCACGGCAAAGAATGGTGCACTTTATCTAAAAATCATAACCCCTGTCTGACACTCTGAGGATGGGATGGGCTTCCCTGGCCTGCGTCTGCCTTATTATGGCCTTCAGTCTTGACCCTGCTGCTGCTGGCATGGAAAGCCAGCTTCCTGGGTGCTACCCTCCAAAAGAAGACCGTAATCAAGACCAGAACCGCAAGCTGGATCGTCAGCATTTGTCACTGGGAACGTCACCTCACTGCTCTCCGGCACTCAGTTTGGTCATCTGTAAAAATAACAACATTAATAAAGTGTGGCTTATTTGGAGAATTAGATTCGAGAACACCACGCGGAAGTCTCCAGCCAAAAGCCAGGCCTGGGTTCGTCACTTAATCTCTTTCAGTGACACATGTCAAACTAATTCAGGAAATGCCAATTTTCTTTTTTTCCATGGAGAATGTATCATAGATTCATCGTAGTTGCTAACTACAACTTTCAGGCACCCATTGCTGTTTGTGAAAGCTCTGTGTGAAGCTAAAGGGCACTCGGTCCTTCAGATGTGGTTGAAAGAGGATGGCTGTTGTTTGCTGCCGTGGGGCTCTGAACAGCTCCGTGTGTATGAAGCAAATACTGTGCTGCAGAGAGAACAAATAACCACTGAGAAGTAACTGGAATCTGTTTCACACGAGCAGATGTCCACCTCCGGGCTGGGCTGTCTGCTCAGATGGCTCTGAGGGACTCAGCTTCCTCCCTGTCTGCTCAGGTCTCTGTCCCGGCTGCCTCTCGCTCGCTCATTGTCCTCTTGGGTTCTAAGCGAATAGAGTCTCTGCCTTCCCAAGCTGAGGGCTTGATACTCATCCCAGCGCATCCGTTCCTTTCTATGGTGCTGTTTGAGGGAAAGTGGGTTCTGCAACTACTGCCCCTCCTTTCCTCTGTACACCGCACTCAGCCGCGAGGGCCGTGTAGACAGTCATTGCTTCCGAATGCTGTCAGGAGTGTACAGACAGTCATTGGTGTAAGCAGACTTTGGATTTGCTTCACAGAAAGGAAAAGGTGCAGCGGACTCATGAAACGCCTGGCTCACGCTTGCTCATATGAAGGGAAATGCAGAGTAAA